GCATATGTTAATTTATTTCCATTTTCAAATCATTAAATGCATATGGTACTGTTCTTTAGGTTAATTTCATCATTAATTAAATAACAGGCAACTGTAAATTAACAAATTAAATTAATATTTTGCAAGAGTGGTCAGCCTCCGTGCGCCTTGGGCAGGTCTCTGCTAATTTTTCTGGGTTCTTTCTCGGTAAAGAAAGCCGGCGCTGACTTTCACAGGCCGAAGTTGGGGGAGGTTGATACAAATAAACGAACACTTTAATTCAATTATACTACATATGGCGATATCATTTATTGACGCCTTTTCACAAATATCGCTACAAAATTAACTTCGCCGCAGTGAGCGCGCTCGCTCAACCTTTCCGCGACCAGAGTTCGCGGGATCACGCGAGCGAGATCGCTCAGCGTGCGCGATAAAATCAAAATACGATAATGTCCGTAATCGAGCGAGAGCTGGTGCGAGAGAGATAAACTGGCTTTTGACCCACCGGATGCTGACGGTCCGTCGACAGAGAGGCGACGCCGGCGAAAGCGTAGTCCCGCAGGAAACGGCGCCCTGGCGACGATGGAAGCTGCTGCAGGAAGGGCCGCAGCACGGCCTTTGCCTCGTAGACGGCGAATGGTCGCTGCGTTTACTGGCTCGGCTTCGGACTACTGGCTTCCTGGCAAATGTGGCAGTCGCACCGATGGCAGTTGCTTCCTACCGGCCAAATCTCGCTTCATCCAGTCTCTCTCTAGGCGGCCCTAATTACTTGAGAGCTCGCGCTTAACTGCCCTTCCTCTCTCTTAATTTCTCAGCCTCGAGCCGCCGCGATCCCACCCCTCTCGTCGTCAAAAATCAGTCAAAATCGCTCTCTCTCTCTCTTCTCACTCTCACCCACACTCACGGCGACACCTCGCCGATCGTCGCGCTCCTCTCTCCAGATCCTGCAACGACACAAGTATGTAGTCACTATATAGCATACACTTGGTCGCTGCGTTCACGCGAGGAGAGTGCCGCACACAGGGCTAGCGAACATCGCTATAACCCTATATCGCAATTTGCACAAGAAAAAAGCATAATCGTACGTGGTAAACGCAGAATAAGTGAATTTTACAAATATGGTGTTGGTAATCTAGTGAGTTTATGGGAACAAGTGAGTTTATAGAGGCTGTGTGCTTAGGATTCAAGAGGTTTTGAATTGGGTATTTTGGTGAGTTTGTGAATTTAAAATAACAGGATGAAAAAGTTAGATACTTCAAGGTTTTATTGTTTTTGGATTAGCAGATTGTTGAATTTGGTGTTTGAAAGTAAGAAAATTTTTTGGTTGGCGAGTTTATGAATCGGAGGCTTATAGAGTTGGAGAGTAAGTGGGTTGGTGGATTCGTGAATTTGTTAAATGGTGGGTTTAAGAGCTTAGGAGAATATGAATTCTCTGGTTTGGGTATACTGTGAAAATAACAAGGTTTTTATTATTAATATTATAAGTTTGCTATTTTTACAATATTTATTACACTTAAACTAACGTATATTAATCGCTACTATAGGGTGTTTGTTTCGTCGATCATGAACAATGCGTTTTTAACATTAGTATAAAAGCAATTGTTTAACAAATACCAGTTTGGTTTAACGCGTTTCAGTGCTCCTTACAAATTGCTTTGTTAATTAGTTTTGAACGCTATTTCGTTCTATAAGAGTTTAAAAATATTGTTAAAGTTACGAAGTGTTTTTAGTAGAGGTTAGGAGTAAAGAATAGAAAATGTAGCAGTCTCCTTCGTCAATAGATATTCTATCGAGTATTATAAAATATGTTTAATTGAAATCTGTCGAAAATTAAGCAGTAGCTAAAGAATTTCCCGTTATTTTTCATAGCAACTATCCAACCCAAAGCAGGCAAAGCTATCGAAATCTGGATAGAGCAAGTATACTCAACTGCTTCTTTTTAAAACAAAGACTAACCCACTTCAACTCTGATAAACTGCATACCCAGATACTCTTATATCCCTGATAAATCACTATTAAGAAGGCTCACCCACCGAACCGTGTAAATTAAACACGCTCTCCCCAGTGGTAGGTAGGTTAGTCTGCTTGGGGGTTGGAAGGGGTGTTTTATTGGGGTTGTGAGGATGTGTATGGATGAGACACATGAGTGTTGAGATTGCTCAACCCATCTGTGATTATGGTATTAACTTTTTAAATTAAATCAGTCGGTTAAACTCGCTTTACCCAGGGTTAGATAGATTAGCCTGTTCTGGGGTTGGCAGGGGTGGTTTATAGGTGTCGTAGGGGTATGTAGAAGTAAGAAATCGTACATATCGTAGTCTTATGTGATGGCAGACATCCTCCCGAGTATTTGGAAATTTTTTTTTACCGAAATCGATTGAACATTGAGCCGCGGCTCGACTTTTGTCCATTTTCCTACGCTGTGCGCCGTGGCGGGCAGTTCGTAAGAGTTCTAGCCAAAGACTGTATCTCAAACCTCCGTAATACACCCATACGTAAATTTGATGTATTTATATGTGCTGAACTTTCGAGGACAAATAAATGTATATACGCCTCGATGATCTGGAAGAAATGCTAAAGTCTATCCAAATTACGTAAGATAACAACAAATTTTGAATCTACAGTGCCGCTTACGCACTTCTACCCCCCCACGGGCAAAATCAGTCTAACTTCAAAGTTTTATATCCCTGGTAGAAATTAACGTACAGAGACGCGCGTCGGTGCGTTTGAAAGGTCTTTCGGAGAGATTTCAAATGATATGATTCACGGTTGCCATCGATTGTTTTTTTAAATTTTGCAACAATTATGCAAAATTGAAAATTCTGAAATTTTTTTATTATTTTTGACAATTAGCCAATTTTGGAAAAAAAATAGTACGAAAATTTGAAGTACACCATTTTTTAGCTATTACCAAGCCCTATCTGAATCACTCATCAAAAATTTATTTTCGTCAAATATGACGCGCGCACGGACATTTTTTCCTGGAAGTGACAGTTTTTTTCAACATTTTTTATCTCCATCAAATTATAACAATCGAAAAAAATTTATGCGAGAAAAAATGTTTGTTTTTTCACGTAGAATACTGCAATAATTTTTTTTTTGGTTTTTCGAAAAATTTTTTTTTTCGGTTTTTCTCAATTTTTTTTTCTCACAGTCGGTACGCTAAAAAGATGAGAAACCACAAAAAAAAATTTTTTTCCACCCATTCAATAATACTACATAACAAGTATCGTAAATTACATAAAAAAAAAATTTTTTTTTTTTCGACCTTGAAAAATAATTTAAACCGAAAAAAGAAATTTTTCGAAAAACCAAAAAAAAAATTATTGCAGTATTCTACGTGAAACAACAAACATTTTTTCTCCTATAAATTTTTTTCGATTGTTACAATATGACGGAGATAAAAAATGTTGAAAAAAACTGTCACTTCCAGGAAAAAATGTCCGTGCGCGCGTCATATTTGACGAAAATAAATTTTTGATGAGTGATTCAGATAGGGCTTGGTAATAGCTAAAAAATGGTGTACTTCAAATTTTCGTACGATTTTTTTTCCAAAATTGGCTAATTGTCAAAAATAATAAAAAAATTTCAGAATTTTCAATTTTGCATAATTGTTGCAAAATTTAAAAAAACAATCGATGGCAACCGTGAATCATATCATTTGAAAGCTCTCCGGAAGACCTTTCAAACGCACTCACGCGCGTCTCTGTACGTTAATTTCTACCAGAGATATAAAACTTTGAAGTTAGACTGATTTTGTCCGTGGGGGGGTAAAAGTGCGTGAGCGGCACTGTACCTCTACTAGCTTCCTCAAATGTTTTGTTTGTAATGAAGAGGGACACATATCCAACAACTGCCTAATAGCTAGTAGCGTCGATAAACAGCAGAATAACACAGAGACCGAGTTATCTGTAAACTCGGGAACTTCAGTCAAAGAAAATGAAAATTCTGAAATGACCGTAGAGGAAACTGATGTACAAATAATAATTGCCTACCCCATTAACTTGAAAAGAACAAGTTCTGAAATATCTTCTCAAACTTCTACGATAGAATCTACGGAAAGGTATGACTTGAATACAAAGGAATAATCCTAATTATCTAAATAGCATAAAAGTGACAAATCCAAAAAAGAAAAAAAACAGATATCAGTAAAAAAAGTCTCGCAAAAGTAATAGAACCACTACGAGACACATTAGACGGTACAGGCAAAGTACTTAACTTTATTCAATTCGAAAGCTTGGAAAGCATACACGGCTCAACCGACATACTCAACATTTACTGCGACAATATAGACTAATTAATTGCACTACTAGATGAACTGTGTTCACTGCTTCTCGGTGGCAACATGAAAGACAGATTTACTCGGCTAAAGAAGAAACTGATAAATTAGGAATCTAGTGATATCGTTCATCCAAGACATAGGTAATCAAAGTCAACAAACTTCCAATAATGAAGTCGAAGTTATTGAGGATTGAAAAAAAAGGTTATTTTTTTACAAAAACCGCCGTAACTCGGTTAAAAAACATCATATAGAACCCCGCGGGGGCTAATTTTAAAGGGAAAGACATTACCCTCCGAACCCTCCGGTCGATTTGCCCTCCACCGCCTGGTTCTAAATTGGCATTGATTTAAGTCGAGGTTAAAAAAATTGAAATTTTTTTAATCAGTTTTTTTACTGTAAAAAACATATTTTCATTTTTAAGTCTCTGCACGTCTTAAATGGAAGCTTTTGCAATTACCTTTAAAATGCCCTGCTGTTTTTTGTGATACGATGATTTCCGACCGAGATACAAAACTTTCAAGTTTGTCTAATTTTGAGGTAAGCATGGCAAAAGTGATTGACGGGCAGAGTATGTGCTGCGACCACGACAATTGCTAATATATCAAAATACTTTTAGCGAGTAAACAACTTTGATTCAATTTTCTAGTGCGCCGCTGTAATAAATCAGTAAAATGTTATCAGCTTAATCATAAAGTGACAATGCTCTTTTCAATTATTCATTAATTATTCATTGTTTCAGTCCAAGTGTATGTCAATCTGAGTTTGGTTGGAATATAGATTTTCAAGAGTTAGAATACAATCCATCAAAAAAAGACTTAACAGATGCCAGAATACACCATCTACTTGCAGAAGAATTATGTAAACCGCATAAGCGTGTAAGTAATGTATCGATGAAATTTTATATTTCGCGTTTTAATCTGTTTCTAAATCATTTATGAAGCCGTTCCTTACAATCATTTTTATTTTTATAAATTGCCATGACTCAGTGAGAAGCAGTTCAGAACTTTATACAAAAGTTCGTAGATTTTATTTTTTGGCATCTGAAAATTGTCAGAATTAATTTTTAAAGAATGTTGCCGCGATTATAAGAATTAAGATTCCACCTTAAACTATAGGTTCAATCTATACGTAAGTAGGATTCTTTAGACTTTTCCAAACAGACGTAGAGAAAATTACTCTGCGTGTTTTTCATAACGGTAAAGAAACCGTACTAATACACAGGAACACCTCGTTTCCATAACTTAAATGGTTGCGGAGATATCAATTTTTGAACATTTTTGAACAAAAATTTTTAATTGTTTAATATTTTAGTTATAATTATTATAATGATCTAATAATCCATACTTAAGTAAACTACCATGTAGGTAACATTTGGACCAAGTTTCAAGAAAATCCGAAACTTAACCCTGATAAGTTGATCGTCATAGTATGGAATGTGCCATTACTGGGACGTCTAGTATAATTTAACCGAATGTAAACAAATAATATTTCACGTTTTTGGAACAATATCGTAATAGCTTCCAAGCACTTGTATTGGTTAACCCATCCTACATACGACTATTTCTGAATTAAGTAATCAAAGAGAAGTCGAAGATATATATACATACACCTATCATAAAAAGTTATCATAAAATATAAAATTATCGTTATATATAACAAATCGACGTTGCTTATGCATTAATTTCATAAAGATTAACCAATTAAGACCCAAGCCGCAACTGGAAAGGATTTTTCTTTTTTATATTAATCCTAGGTACTTTACAATTTGTCTACATGAATACGTACAATAAGTAAATTTTTACAACTGTATTATTAATTTACATACATAGAGAAGATTACTCGAGTGAGTATTCTTACTATTTCTTAACATTATCGAGAGACATTGTACAATATTCTGTTTAAAATTTCATTATTTTATGTTTCTTGAGTCAGGTGTTTTTGATTGAATCTTTGAGAAGTTTGCTGATAAGTTCGTTTGAGTGGTTTTGAAGTTTAGTATTGTATTGTGCGTAGAAATTTTTAATTTCTTCTTTTACTGTTGGAATCTTTATATTATTTTGAATGATTTCGTTTGGGACAAACCAAGGCGCGCATAAAATATTACGAAGTACTTTCGATTCGAATCTTTCCAGAATTTCAACGTTTGAATTTGAAGAAGCACTCCATAATTGAATGCCGTAGGTCCAAACTAGTTTGAGTATAGATGTGTATAGTTAAAGTTTGTTTTCGATTGTCAGCTCTGATTTTTCTCCTATGAGCCAGTAAATTTTCTTCCATCTTAATCCTAACTGTTTTCTTTTTGTAAATATGTGCTCTTTCCATGTTACCCTTCGATCCAAGTGTATACCTAAATAATTTACCTCTTTGCTTTAAGCAATGTATTTGTCGTTTAATTTAATAGCTGGACAGGTATCTTTCCAAAGAGTAAATGTAGTGTGTATTGATTTGCTCTTGTTTACTATTATTCTCCACGAGTTAAGCCAATAATGTAAATGTTGATTTATGTAATCCTGTAATATTTCTGTTACTATTTTTGCTTCATAATGTGTTGTTAGAATTGTTGTATAATCTGCATAAGTTGCTGTTATAATGCTTGGGGACTTTGGTAGGTCCGACGTGTATGAGGTCTGTCCGGAAAGTATCGGGCCTATGTTTATATCTTCGCGCCATAGTGTTCGAGCGACCTCTGCCGGACAGAAACGTCAACAGTAAAGCCTCACGAATGTATTGGTTACTTACTGACACCTACCGGATATATAGTTCATGCGCAGCGTATCTTTGTTTACAGTGCCTTTTTCGCGTTCGTCGGATTTAGATATTGTCAAAAATGACTGAAAAACAAGATCAACGAATTTGCATCAAATTTTGCTTTCAACTCGGAAAAACTAGTTCGGAAACTATTGAAATGATGCAAAAGGCCTTCGGAAGCGAGTGTATGAGCAAAACACGAATAAAAGAGTGGTATAAACGGTTCAACGATGGTCGCACTTCTGTCGATAGTGATTCTCGCTCCGGCCGACCTTCGACGACAAAAACCGCAGATAATATTGAGCGGGTGCGACTTGCAATAAAACAAGATCATCGTATGACTGTGCGAGAACTAGAGGAAGACCTTGGGATACCAAAAACTATCATTTCAGAAATTTTAACCGAAAATTTAGGAATAAAACGCGTGTGCGAAATTCATCCCAAAATTGCTCACAGCAGAGCAGAAGAACATTCGCTTAGAAATCGCTCTGGACAATCTGGAAATGGTCAATAATGATGATAATGTGCTTAGAAAAGTTATTACAGGTGATGAATCATGGGTTTATGGTATGATCCTGAAACAAAACAACAATCTTTACAGTGGAAGCATTCTGAATCGCCAAGACCAAAAAAAGCACGTCAAAGTCGGAGCAATGTTAAGTCAATGTTGATTGTTTTTTTCGATTATGAAGGTGTTGTACATCACGAATATGCACCAACAGGTCAGCCAATCAATTAAGAATACTATGTTCAAATTTTAAAACGTTTGCGTGATGCAGTAAGAAGAAAACGGCCGCACTTTTGGCATTCATCCAATCTTGTGCAGCAGTTTTTGAGCAAACACAATATCGCATTGCTTCGACAACCTTCATACAGTCCCGACATAGCCCCTTGTGACTTTTGGCTGTTTCCAAAACTAAAAAAACCACTCAAAGGACACCGATTCGATGACAAAACAACGGTTGAAAACAATGCAACGAGTGTACTTGAGGCTATCCCTAAAAGTGAGTTCCAGGACTGTTTTGAAAAGTGGAAACATCGATGGAACCGAGTTATTCAATCAAGTAGGGATTACTTTGAAGGATGTCATCCACCAGATGATAAAGAATAACGCTAGCACGAAAATATAAAGGTAGGCCCGATACTTTCCGGACAGACCTTGTATAGCAAGTATAATGTTCGACCTAAAAGACTTCCCTGTAGCACTCCTGCTTTCATTGCTTGACGTTGAGATACCTTATTATTCATTTTAACTTGGAATGACCTGTTATGGAGATATGCTTTTATTAACTTTTTCAGTTTAGGCGCCCGTAAGCAGCTTTTTACGTGCAGAGCATGCTGAGCGTAGAAAGTTGTTCAGTACAGCGGAGGGGCATCCTGGGCTGCATTGACTCAATACAGCCTAGGACACTGGGCTGTATTGAGTCAATGCAGCCCAGGACCCTGGCTCCCTCTACGTGACAGCACTTAATACGTCGGAGGACTAGTACGAAAAACTTCCATGTAGAGGGCTCTGTATGGAAGTTTTTTCGTGCTGCGGAAAAGTATAGTCTCCGCCTTTAAAAAGTGAGAGGGGATTGTCTAACGTGTCCGAACTTGAAAATCGAGAAAAGTAAAAAGTGCCGGTATTAGTAAAAACTGCAATGTAACTTTTAATAATTAATATATTGATTCTTTTAATTAGTTAAAAATATTTTAATTTTATTAAATTTTTATTAATTATTAATTATTAAAACTAAGAAAAAATTATCTAATTATTTTTTTATTTATATATGTAAAAAATATAAGTTATAAATAAATATATAAAATATAATTGAAATGTTTACAATATTTATTTATATTACAACCGGCTAACGGTAAAAATCAGTTTACGGGCGCCAAAATTGAAAAATTGTTAACGCACTTCGGGCTATTTCACGTCGTATTACGTCGAGGGACTTTTTGGGAAGGAGAGGGGGGCAGTGGAGCGTCCGAGGCCGCGCAGCGGCTGAAACAGCCTTCCCAAAAAGTCCCTCGACGTAATACGACGTGATACAGCCCAAGGTACGTAAATAACTAATAGTGACGTTCAGAAAATATTTCCTTGAGTTTATGCAGAAGCCCAAGCAGTGCTCAAACGCCTAGGCGACATCGAGAAATATATGCATGTGCTGTACTGTTTGTCTTCGATGGCTTTTCTCGCAACATTAACAATTCAGTTAACTTGTTCGATCGTTGTATGATTGCATCTAAATCCGAATTTATGGTCTGGTATAAGTTTTTTATTCACAATAATTTGGCTAATTCTAGTTAGTGTGACGAGAGCAAGCGTTGCGCTTGTTCTCACACTTGTTGCAACACCATCCGCAAGGCGCAGCCAGGCCTCCCCGTTCCCATATAGATAAACATTCTCTTTATTCTTTCTCTCTCTCTCTCTCTCTTTAGCGGTGTGGCACAGCGAGTGTAAGGGTCAGATAGGTGGCAAGGCGTTAACGCGCCAGCTATCTGCTTTTAATTGCGATCGACATTATTTGTTAAGGTAGCGTACCGTCAAGGCGATCCCTCGCCAGGCGGTTTTCTCGTAACTTAAGTAGGCTAAGTCGGTTTGTTTTCAAGGCGGTCACCTGCCGGGTGACACGTTCTGTGTGTCGGTTAAATTTTGTAAACGCGGGTAATATTAGTTAATTTGTTCTTCGTTCTTTTATTGCGTAGTATGTGTCAAGAACACCGTTATGTTCATTAGAGTTAAAGCGTGTTTGATTAGTTATGTTCATTAGTGAGTAAGGTTTTGTAAAGTTTTTAATTCGGTAATAATAATAAGGTAAAATTGTTCTATGGTATTTGAAATGTGATTTTGTACTGTATTTCTTGACCTTTCTCTTCCCCGCCTTGATTGCTATGATCGAGTGCGCCTCACTTACCCACCTTTAAAAATTGATAACGAACGAGTTTCGTTACATTAGGATTAACTTTTGGAAGATTTCTGCGAGTATTGGTAATAGACTGACTGGTCTATATGAAGTAACAAGTGTCGTTTCTTTATCGGGATTAGGTATTAATATAATCTTTGCTATTTTCCATTGAGAGGAAAAATAACAAAGGCGGAATCATGCATTTAAAACTATTGTTATATATTTTATTACTATTA